TCCCTCTCCCTCCATACCACCTGCTTCAGACTTGAACAGCCCCTTTCAGGCCCCTCCACATCTTGCCCATGTCACAACACTGCTGCCACAAATCCGGCTGTGTTCCTCTCCTGCTCAAACCCTTCAATAAGTGCCATTCAGGCTGAATAAAGGCCAGATTCCTACATTTACCATGGTCACTTTCTGCTTCACCAGACCCTGGACATACAGAGCTGACCACTGGCAATTTCCTCGATCTCATGTATTTTTCATTTCTTTTTCCTCTGACTAGAAACCTCTTCTCTATGCCCTCATCTGCTCAAATGCCCCTCCGCCCTGTCACCCTGGCACCCTGTCAGAGTTTCTGAGCTCTACCCCATTCTTTCTGCACTGTGGAAACACCCTGTTTACAATTTATATGAACGTGTCCCAGGCCTCGTGCTGGAGCTATTTGGTCAATGAGCTTCTTGACTTTATCTGTGCAGAGGCTAGCACATTGCGTTGGGTAATAAATGTCTGTGGAAGAGTGCATTACCACTCTACACACCCTACACATGCTGCCCTGGGTCTTGGTAGCTGTCTCTTTTACCTGGCTCATAAAACCCTTCTCAAAAGGCTCCAGAGCACTTCAGAATCAAACTGTTGTAGGGTCATACAAATCCTGAGCACATTTAAAGATAGCGCGGGACCCCACCTCCCCCAATTCCTCCATAATCTGTATGCAGGTGACCTTGGCCATTGCTGGGGGTTGAGAGATGAGCCATATGCCCTCTCAGCAGCAGCTCTGGGAGCAGGAGGACTCACCACCAGAGATCTGTTGAATTCGTGGTTCAGGTCAGCCTCCTCGGCGGCCTCTACCAGATTCTGAGGGATGAGAACAAAAAGGGGAGAACGAATGAGCAAAAGGAGTCCAGTGTGTCCTCAATTCTGCTCTTAAGAATATACCCAAGAGAACTGAAAACAAGGACTCAAACAAGAACTTGTGCACAAATGTTCACAGCAGAACTCATGCACAAATGTTCACATTTACCTTTTGCAATAATTGAAAGGTAAATGTGTATTTCTAAGTGGGAGAAGCCAGTCAGAAAAGGCCACATATTGCGTGATTCCAAACATATGACATTACGGAAAAGGCAAAACTATGAAGACAGTAAAAACTATGAAGACAGTAAAAATACCAGGGGTTTGTGGGGAGGGAGGGATGAATAGGTAGAAAATAGAGGATTTTTAGGGTAGTGAAACTATTGTGCATGATCTATAATGGTGGATACATGTCATTATGCATTTGTCAAAATTTGTAGAATGTGCCAGACCAACAGTGAACCCTAATGTAAACTATGGACCTTGGGTGATAATGATGTGTCAATGTAGGTTTATCGATTGTAAACATTGTACTTGTGGGGGCTGTTGATAGTTGGGGAGGCTGTGTTTTTGTGGGGGAAGGAGGTATATGGGAACTCTCCGTACTTTCTTTACAATTTTTCCATGAACCTAAAGCTGTTCTAAAAATAGTCTATTTAAATGTGCATGAATGTGTACATATGTACATAAATTTTAATTATTTTAAAGTGTGCAACTTAGTGGCAGTAGGTACATTCACAGTGTTGTGCAACTATCATCACTATCTAGTTCTAGAACTTTCATCACCTCCAAACAGAACCCATTAAGCAATCACCCCCGTTCCCCTCTGCCCCTGGCTCTTGACAAACACTAATCTGCTTTCTGTCAATGGATTTTCCTGTTCTGGATATTTCACATAAATGGAATAATACAATGTGTGACCTTTTGTATCTGGAGTCTTTCACTTAGCACAATATTTTCAAGGTTCATTCATGTCATAGCATGTATCAGAACTTCATTCCTTTTTATAGCTGGATAATATTCCATTTTATGGATATCTCATATTTTGTTTATTCATTCATTAGTTGATAGACATTTGGGTGATTTCCACCTTTCAGCTATTGAATATAAATGTAAAACAGTTTTGGTTGTCAATTATACCTCAATAAACATGGGGGAAGAAGAAGAAAAGATCTGAGCTCCTATTCTGGCTTGGTTAGGGCTAAGCCACTAAGTCCCTCTGGGTCTCTATTTATACAACTGTAAATTGGGTAGAATAGTCCTTGCCTTCCCTACTCCCAACTCCCAATTCCTAGGATGAGATGAAGAAATTCCACAGGACCAAGATTATTTTAGAGCTGCTTTGCAGGACATTTCCCATGGGCATTCCCATAGGAGGGTCAGTGGCTGTAGCACTCCACAGAACCCCCAGCAGGCAACAGGGACTGGTGTTTGGAGGTGTGCAGAGCATGTGCTCACTTGCTTGGTCTTATGAGGTTGAAGCCATGGGAAGGACACAGCGTAACTGGAGGCCCAGGACTGCTGTGCTATAGCACCACGAGGGCCAGCCCCTAACGTGGTGAGTTCCTGAATCCCAATGTCTGTGCTCTGCCCAGAGAGGCAGTTTCCACAGTATTGCAGATTAAAAGAGGCAGAGTACTGGTGTGTTTGTTGTAAGGGGGGTCAGTTTCTCCCTACTATGGCCCAGAATGGGCTCTCCCAACCCCAAATATCTTTTCATTGGTTCCTGATGCTAAGATTCCTTGCCCCTAAGCATGGAGGAAAGGCTGAAAATTGTAACGCATGGGAAAGAAGGCCCCAGCGACTTTACACAGAGTCCCTCCCAGATGGTGCTTTTGATGGGGGAAGTGGGAGACAGATAGACAGGCTGGCCAGGCTGCAATTCCATTCCTACCCTTTCCTCAGCACTGGCCTCAGCCTCCCCTCCAACAACCTCTCCGGCCCCATCTCCTCTCTCCTGGTTCCCCAAAGGAATTCTTTTAGGGAACACCGTTGTCCTGGATGGTCATATTTCTGGCAAGGTAGAGCATGAACTATGTCTCTCCCACCAGCCAGGTCCCCACAGCATCGGGGCAGGCACTTCATGCCAGGGAAGTGACACATTCTGTTTCTACCAGGCCAAGCCAGGTTGGGTGGATGTGCAGTGACAGAATTACCTGAGCATGAGGCCCATCACTAAAAGCACCTCTGGTGTCTGGGCAGCTCTCAGAGCACTTAGGTGTCATGAAGGGTGGGTCCATATGGCAGGAGAGGAAAGGTTGGGAGGATGGGAAGGGGAAGGAGAGAAGGAGAGAAGAGGGAAGGGAGGGGAAAGGGAGGGGGCTTTGCTTTGTATGTTCTCCATCTTTCTATACTCCAACCCATCCACTGCCCATTCACCCTTTCATCTATCTATCCATCCATCGTTCATTCAGTGGATGACTCCTAAACCTTCATTCCATACTTGCTCTGCACCAGTCACTGAATACGAGGTTGTGATGCAGAGTCCCTCTTAACACTGCAGGTCGTCCTATTGCATTGGACGTTGTGCCCTAAGGTAGAGCTCCATTCCCAACCCTCTCCTCTCCCCTTGTTTCCCATCATTTCCTCCTTTACAAGGACCTTTTGGCTCATGAGGATACAAGGCAGACACTCGTGAAGTAGGAAAAGGATGATGTGGGTGAAAGAATGCTGGGCCACGACATCAGTGAGGGTCATTTTGGTGAAGCAGGGGCTAGGGCAGAATCCTTCCCCGCCATAGATCATAGAACCTAGAGCACCTTGACAGCCTCCACTTTCCTGCGTAGCATGGTCTCCATGTCCTCTGAGAACTTTCTCACCAGCTCCAAGCCATCCACCTCTTGGATCCTCAGACTGGGCTCCACATCCTTGTATTTCTGTTAAGGAGAATGTGGGAGAGACAGACACCTGTCATCTGGCACCGGGATGTTTTGTACCTGATCACATGTGGCCTCCATCCTCTCAACTAGTGCATTCACACCTATGAGTTCTTGCCTACTCAGCGAGAAGCAAGGACAGCTTCTTCCCCCCTTGCATAATCTCCCCTGCTAATGACAATAGCTGCCTCTTGGCAAACAACTTCCCTTTCCAGGGACACTAGACACATTTGGTTAATATTCTTAAGAGGGAGTAGACTAGGGCTCAGACAGGTCAACAAACATGACCAAGGTCACATAGCCAGGTCTCACGTGGACTGCAAAACCTCCCTGAGCATCAGTTCCTCTTTCTCCCACACCCCGTGATGTTAGTGTGCCCCTGCTCACATCGTGTCTGGACTGAGCTCAGCAGCAGCAGGTATTGACGCTGCCTGACAAACCACCAGGGAAACTAGGAGAGTTCAGAGAGCTGGGTTCAAGTTTACTCTCTGGGGTCGCAGGAAGAAAATCTCTCTTTGAGTGTGCATATCACCAATGTCTGATGACACAGTTCAGCAACTATTGGCCACATGACCTTAGGCAACTTACTCAGTAAGTTTTCTCATTTGAAAGATGTGACATTGGCATGGCTTTAGAGCAGCAGTCTCCAACATTTTTGGCACCAGTGACTGGTGCTCCTATGAGAATCTAATGCCTGATGATCTGAGGTGGAGCCGAGGCTGGGGAGCAGCTGCTTCACTCACTGGCCTGCCACTCACCTCCTGCTGTGTGGCCCAGTTCTTAATAGGTACCAGTCTGCGGCTGAGAGTTAGGGATCCTTGATTTAGAAAATGGCAAAGATCATAGTCACCTCATGAAGTTGTGGTGAGGGTTAAATTCTGAATATAAAGCTCTTAGCGAATGGTAATAATAGAGAATGACAAACTATTATTAAAATTGGTCTGGGAGTTATCAAAGGAAAATGAGGTTGTTTATAATCTAGTAAGGTGTCAATCAGCACATAAAGCGATTAATCAATAAGGGGTTGGGGAACCACGCCGTCCTCTCCATTAGGCCCTGCGTCCTGCCCAGGAGCCAGGCACAGGCTCAGACCTCTGCTAGGGCCCATGCGGGCTCTGCAGTCCCCGGGCATGGCTGGAGATCCTGAGAACTGGAGGTATGGAAGCTCTCCCTGCACTGAGAGCTGCCTGCTTCTACTTCCTACACAGCTACTGCAGGACTTTCCCCATGGTAGCCAAGGCCCCTCTTTCCCCACCTCCTTCTCTCCACCCCCTTTCACAGGTGTCAAGCCTGCATCCCAGTCTGCTCACTCCTGCTCCCTCTCCCCTTTATTCTTCACAGCCCTTCCACCCCAATAAATCGCTCGTCTGTCTAATTCTATCTTGGCGTCGGCTTCCCTGGGATCTGATCTCACACGATGCTCTTGGCTACCCCATTGATTTACTCTGCGACTTGGGCAAATCCTTACCCTCCCTGAGTCTCAGTTTCCCCATCTGAAAATGAGAGGATTGGATTGATGATCTCTAAGATCTTTCACAGCATGGACGTTCAGGGATTCTGGGTCTCTGCTCTTCTCCCTGGAAGGGCTCCCTGGCTGATTGTCCTCTGACCACCCTTGGAGCTCCCTAGAAGAGGGTTACTGACCTTCTGCAGCAAGAGGGAGCCCGAGTACTTGGTCACGGTGTCATACAGGTCCCTGCCGAAGGTGTCTGCCCACAGCTTCACTCTGTCAAGTCATGAAGGTACATATGCATACACATAGACACACACGTGGACATATATGCATAGATGCACATGCACACACACGTGCACATACAAAACAAGTGTCTACACACATAGATACCCACTAATGCACACACGCACAAACACACAGAGACACACATGATACATAGAGGTTCTCACACTAACGCACATACACACATGTACACATGCAAACGCACACACACTGACATACATATACCCAGAAAAACACATACGAAGAACTCCTGTCCCTCTTGGCTAGGGCAAGAGACCATGAAGACCCTCCAGGGGCTTGGCAGCTGCATTGAGTGTGCCGAATGCCCTTGGCTGGGTCTCCTACTGAGGGGCGAGGAACAGGGGCTGATGAGCTGGAACCAAAGCCTGACACAAAGCACCCAAGGGCTGTGGTTTGTGGGTGGAGAACGGAGAAGAGAGAAGGAGAAGAGAATGTGGACAGGTCCAGGCCCGGGCAGAGAGGACCCTGAGGATAGACATTAGAACCTCCTTGGCACAGTTGCAGCTTCTCAATGAGTCATTCCCTACAGTGTTTCCTGCTCAAGGTCACTGTGGGCTGATGCATCCTTTGGTGAAATTTCAGAGGGGGAATGAAGCAAGGGGACAGAGGGAAAGGCTCTGAGCTGCTCCTGCTTAGGGCAGGCCAGGCAGTGAGGGCAAGAGAGGCCACACCTCGCCCTTGGTGTAGGCAGCCTGGTAGAGAAACCCTGACCTCTCATCTGTCCCCAGAAGTGCATTGAGATCCCATCATCTGGGCAGGCTGCTAGGGTTCTGGGTGTGGGGATATAGGACTGAGCCTCTCCATTTGGAGTAAACTAAGTTTGCCCACATGATCATTTAGAGATCAGCATTTATTAAGTCACTCATCCAATATCTATTGAGATCTTATGTGCCAGGCCTTATGTAGTCCTGGAGCCCCATCACAGTCCTCACCTTTGTAAAATCCTCAGTTAGAGGGACACCCCTTCACATACAGATAGCATTATACATGTTTGAAGGGACACCAACAAAGCTTGCAGGCAGAGGTAGTGGTGGTGAGGGAAGGCTTCCTGGGAGAGGTGGGATCTGAGTTCAGTGTTAGAAGCTTGAGAGGGTTTAGCCTGACAAAAAGATTTGGAAGAGAATTCTAGGTGGAGAACACAGAAGAGCTTGGGGGAATCAAATATGACTTCCAGGTTTCTAGCTTGGGTGCTTGAGCTGATGGTACTGTTATTAAATAAAATTAAGAATATCAGGAAGATCATGGAAATAAGTGGGGAGGGTGGAAGGTGGCAAGTGTAGCTTGGTGAGTGTAGAACATGAAATTCCAGTGCAGAGCTGTGTTGCAGAGTAATGTTGAGCAGGTTGTGCACTGTACCACTCTAGAAATTACCAATTGTTTTGTATCTTGAAAGACATGAACTTGAATTTAAAACCTCACATGATGTTCAGGAAGAGCTGTCCATAGGCAACAGACATGTGAGTCTAACAGGTAGAGGTAAGGCTGAGAGACTTATGGATGGGGGTTCAAATTCTGAGGATACATGGACTCTCTCGAGGAGAGTGTATAGCATGAGAAGATACAAGTGGACAACCAACCCTGGGGAACACCAGAAACCTCAGGGGCAGGCAGAGGGAAAGGGGCACTGGAGGAAGACAGAGGTAACAGGTGCCCAAGGAGACTCAAGAGAGCAAGTGTTATAAAGCTAAGGCATTGAGACTCAAGGAAAAGAGAGAGACTAGTGTCCAAAATGAGAGTCTAGGGAGATAAGTCCAGAAATGTCTACTGGATTGAGCAATAATGGTCTTTGGTGACTGGGGTGGGAACAGATTTGGGAAGGCAAAAGAAATCAGGCCAGGCAGTGGAGGCTGATAGCCAAGTGGGAGGGAGGGTGTGGCTTCACAAGAAAGAGAGGGGTTGGTCTTTGGGATGGAAAGACTGAGAAGGATCCAATGAGAGAGGAGGGATGGGGCCAAGGTCCTCCGGGAAGGTCTGGTGCCAAGGGAGCGGGCAGGTGCAGATGTGGGCGTGTTTGGGGGCCCTTAATCTCAGCGACTCTCTCTGGAGGTTTCTGTGTTGGTGGTCCACTCTGCGGTTCTCCTCAATCAAGACCTGGGTTCCAGCCACTTTGACTTGGCACTCAGCCTATTCCTAGAGTTTGCCTTCAACTATTGGTGTGTGTTCTGGGGTTGAAAATTATTCTCACCATCTCCTTTAACAATAGATGGTTTTATAGGCTGCTGTGGGTGTGATGGTGAAGCATAGTCCAGGCTGACTTGAGTTCAAATTCTGACACTTCCATTTACTGGCTATGTACACTTGGGAAGTTGCTCAACTGCAGAATGGGGATACTGTTAACCAAATCACTGAAGTGCTGTGTGAACTAAAGGTATCATTTGTAAAGCATCTAACACTGTGCCAGGCATATAAGAAGTAGAGGTTATACAACCAGATGGAAACACTGCCACTCAACAAAGCTCAACACAAACATTTTGTGTTGCTCTGGCAGCCAGTCCCCACTTCTGTTAACTTGTGAGGCTGACTCTCATGCTGCACTTGGGTGGCTGGACTTACGATATGGACTGAGCAGGTAATCCCCTTTGGTCTAGAGTGCTCTGCTCCCCATATTTATTGGAAATTTCTTTAGTAAGTCCACCAGAGCCAAGGACTAAAAATAAACACTCCCAGAGGGGTTGTACAGTAATTTAAATGTATAGCAAAGTGTAAAGAACTGATACCTGGTCTTAATGACAGGATGGAGAATTAGGGCCTGGAAGGAGGCAGAAAGGCATGGAAAGGGAAGACTGAGACTACCAAAGTCAAATTTGACCTAGATCCTTGTTGCATGAGTCATTTAATCAATTTAGAACTGTTTTACCTTTTCAGAATGAATTTCTGAATTTCTTAACAAATTTCCTAACAAATCCTTGGAGAGCTGCAATGATCGTTTTGAGCCAACACAGTTCCACCTCCAGTCACCTAAGAGCAGCGATTATCCTGGAAGAAGCATCATTCTGCAGGTGCTCTAGATGCTGATTGCCATCCCAACGAAGAGTGTGAGTGGTGATGATCAAGTCTGCTTAAAACGTCAGGTGTCTGAGGAGGGGCAGGTAGGACTCCCAAATGGAAGAGAGGAGGGTAAAGAAAGGTCTTCACAGCAAGAAAGGGTGAGTGGGCAGTCGAAGATCCCAGGGGAGAGCCTGGAGGGAGGTCAGATGTAGGGGGAGGAGTGTGTGCAGAATATTGAGGTCTGCTGGCAGAAAGGAAGTGAGGAAAGGGAAAAAGGGTTTTATGGGGTGGGGCCTGAATTTGATGCTTACGTTTCCAGAGGAATCTTGGCCTGCCCCCTCGTGGGGGACAGGGAGGTGCTGGATAGCAGCAGGCACAGGATGACCAAAGTCTTCCACAGGGAGGCCCAGACCATGGGCCATTGGCTGCAGGGACTCCTGCTGTGGATGGAGCTGGAGTCTAGGAGGAACCTGGGTGGTGCAGGCATGATGCTCTTGCTGGGGTCACGGCAGGCAGAGAGGAAAGAGCAGCCTCAGACCGCCAACTTTGTCTGCCTGTCACCCAGGTCCTTGGGATGTCCCCAAGCCTTCTGCCTTTCGGGTCCTGGCAAGCCTGGGATTCCACAGCTTTCAGTAGGGTGCTAGCTGCAATGCTCGGTGGGAGAAGGAGCTTCTCTCTGCTCCAAAGAGAACAGCAACAGAGGAGCTGCCTTACCTGACCAGCAGGCTTCCAATGGAGGGGCTGGCTGTCTAGCAGGGAAGGTTGTAACAAAATGAACCCGTTAATCCATTGGCCTCGGCTCTAATCCCCCAGCTGACAGCAGGGAGGAGGGAGTGGTAGGAGTGACCTCAGCAGGATTACCCTGATTTCAGAAGATAGGGCTTGTTCATTCCACTGGGAGTCAGAGCACATACCCTTCTGCTTTAAAGAGGCAGACTGTTTCTGGGCAGCCCTTCTACACCCAAGGGGAAGAGGACACTGTGACTCTGGCCCAGGACAACAGCTGGTGTTTGCCCAGTGCTTGAATTTACAAAGAGCTATAACAAATCCTCTCTTGGCAGGTCGATGTCCTCGTCCCTGTTTTCAGGGGTTCTCGAGGCACAAGGAAGCTTAGAGATAGAGTTATTCATGTCTCCAGGCCTGCTGCCTTTGGCCAGGTCAGAAGTAATGTCAACACCCTATGGTCCCACATTCCCCACATCTCACCTGCTCCTGGTTCTGGGTTGGAATACATTTGATGAGGCTTCAGGGCTCCTCCCTTGCACATATTCCTAATACATGCAAAAGGTCTTTGGGATGGAAAGACCCACACCTGGTTAAGAGCCCTATTTCTTCCCATTCCATCTCTTCTTGGTCTGATTTCCCTTCAGCTGGCTAATGTTTAGTGGCTGTGCACATTTGGGGGATCCGGCTAAGAGGAAGATGGATTGGGTGAGCATTTAGTTTTGACTTATCTGGACATATTTATGCAGTGTACAGTCACTTCCTTGTAAGGACAAGTTATCTCTAGCCACCCCAGTGTAAGAACATTCTTATCACCCACAGTGCCCCACCCTGCATCAGGCACAGCATGAGATGTTTGTCATGGGGTGAATGCCCTACAGCATCCTCCTTCCCACCGGAAGTATGTGAGAGGGGAGGAAAAATAAGGTTTAAAATACACTGAGCCAGAAGCTAGTCTGGAAGATTCTTCCAAAGATCAAACAAATAAAATTGCCAGCAGAGGATTTGGCTAAGGCCTGGCTAAGACAATTCTCTCTTATTAGGAAAGTAGTTGATAGTGAATGTATGTAATTATAAATATACCATACATTGTCTTCTCTCTGATAGAAATTACACAAAATAGAATTGAATCAAAAGTCTTGTGTTCGTGGGTCCAAAGTGGTAATTGTACCACACGAACACTGGATGTGATATCACAGTTTACTCATTCCGTGTATCAGAGTGCTGCATCTTGTCCTTACAAAATCTGCTGGTTCCAGCAAAATGGCACACAAAATTGCCACCAACGCAGAGAAATGTCTGAAGAAGCAAGTGTTCCAGTGACAAAACTCCTACACATATTCATCAATAAGTCAATGTTGTAGTATCAGAATCATCTGGTTACACAATTATATGGCTCAGTACAACATGGCAGCAATTTTTAAATGCATTTGGATTGTTCCTATAAATGCCTTTATTGTAATGTAAGGAGGAGGCATGAGAATTAAATATTAAATCAAGCTATATTCAGAGCCTGCGATGTGCTGAGGAAGCCTGCAGAACAAAGGAAGATTCAAAAAAAATAATAAACCACACACACACCATGGTATACAGTCTTTAAGTCTTACCCTACACAAAATAAACCCGACCATTTATTCCCTATGGGGAACCTATGGAACAAAGGCTGGGATTGCTAGCATGCTTTTAATGCTACATACCCATGCCTTTCACGCTATATACCCATACCATCAAAAGAAAATAGGTAAACAAAGTCTTTAAACTGTAATTCATAAAAACTGAGAATCATGCATAAACTAAATTCCCCATACACCCAGAGTCTTATTCTCTTGGTCCTTCTCCAATCTTCTCAGTCTCTCTCAGTCTCTGTCAATGAGAGAAGATCACACTCTGTCCATGGAGCATAATTCCTTCTCTAGTGAACTTGCCTTTTGTTTCTAACTCTGGTGTATGCATGAATTCTTTCCTGCACTCAGTCAAGATCTCTCTCCCTTGGTGCAGGACTTGAGCCCTCCCTTGAGGTGATTCACCCTTTTCTGCATCAATTGCAGATGGATTTCGTGTATATTTCAGGATTACAAATCATACCAAATGTAGAAAAAGTACTGCAGAGGTGTGTGGGGCAATTAATAAATAAAAAGAATGTGTAATTTTTGTAGATTTTGTGCTTTTTGTGGTATTCATCAACTCTTTTTTAATTAAGTTTTTTGGGGTAACATTGGTTATTAAAATTACATAATTTTCAGGTGTACATTATCATTTGACATCTGTATATTGTATTGTGTGTTTACCAGCCAGAGTCCAGTTTCCTTCAGCTACCATATATTTGATCCTCTTTACCCACTTCACCCTCCCCCAATCCCCCTATATTTGATACCCTTTACCCCGTCTACCTTCCCTCACCTCTCCCACCCTTCTAGTAACCTATAGTCTATAGTCCTCTGGTAACTTCTAGCCTATAGTCCATGTCATGAGTCTCTGTTTGTTTGTCCTGCTCATTCATTGCATTTAGGTTTATATCCAACATATAATCATGTAGTTTTCAACTTTTTCTGTCTCGCTTATTTCACTTAGCATGATTATCTCGAGGTCCATCCATGTTGTTGCCAATGGCAATATTTCATCTCTTCTTATGGCTCAGTAATATTCCATTGTATATATGTACCACAGCTTCTTTAGCTAATCATTTATCGTGGGACACTTTGGTTGCTTCCATGTCCTGACCACCGTGAATAATGCTACTATGAACATTGGTGTGCAAATATCTTTTTGATGTGAGTTTTCAAGTCTTTGGGGTAAATACACAGTAGAAGGATTGCTGGATCATATGGTAGATCATATGGTAGTTTTTTGAGGAACCTCCATAATGTTTCCATAGTGGCTGTACCAATTTGCAGTCCCACCAGCAGTGTGTGAGGGTCATTTTTCTCTGCATCCCCCTCAACATTTGTTATTACTTGTCCTGTTGATTACAGTCATTCTAACAGGTGTGAGATGGTATCTCATTGTGCTTTTGATTTGCATTTCCCTAATAGCTAACGATGTTGAACATCTTTTCATATGTTTGTTGGCCATTTATATGTTGCCCATTTTTGGATCATTTGGTTTTTTTGTTGTTATTAAGTTATATGAGTTCTTTGTATATTTTGGATATTAGGCCCTTATCGGAGGCATCGCTTGCAATGCAAATTTCCCATTCAGATAGTTGTCTCTACCTTGTTGACGGTTTCTTCTGCTGAGCAGCTTTTTAGTTTGATGTAGTCTCATTCATTTAATTTTGCTTTTACTTCCCCTGCCTTTGAGGTCAAATTCATAAATCCTCTTTAAGTTTCTATGTTTTCTTCTATGCATTTTATTGTTTCATGTCTTATATTCAGGTCCTTAATCCATTTTGAGTTAATTTTGGTGTGTGGTGATAGACAACAGTCTAGTTTCATTCTTTTGCAGGTGGCTTTCCGGTTTTCCCAGCACCAGTTATTGAAGAGGCTTTCCTTTCTCCACTGTATGTTTTTGGCTTTTTTGTCAAAAATTATCAAAG